CGAGTCTAGAACTCGAACTGTTGTCAGCCATGTGGGAGTCCAAAGGCTTAAGCATCACACCACCTGCTGGCCCCATTGCTGTATAATATTAAATAGAAGAATTATGGACTTTTTGATCTAGGAGGGAAATTAGAGAAAAGGAACAACACATTCCTTGTCTTCATCTTATAGGTGAGAATACTAAGACCCAGAGGGATGACTCAGATTGCTGTGTATGACACAGTGGACTAAGTCTGGAACAGAATTGTAATTCTGGTCTTTGATTTATCCTGCCGCATCACTGAAGACCAGTATTTCATGCTCTGACACCACCCAGGGACCTCTAGGAGAGAAGAGGGCAGGTCTACTCCTAGCTATAGACATGCAAGTTCATTATCTCAGGAAAAATGTCACTCAGGACCCTAAAACTCAGAGACACCAACATCACTGAGAAGCATCAGTGAGCCGGGAAATCCTCATAGGAATTGTGCATGTTTGAGGAGAGAATTGAAACTGGCTGAAAGGCGAGTGAGTCTGTATATTGGGAATGGCAGTTCCTTCAGAGATCATGAATGTGCTAACTTGTCCCTGAGGTGGGGCATACTCTCCACATACTGACATGTCAGCAGTCTCTCAATTTCTGGAAGGATGGTGATAAACAGCTGCAATTGGAGAGTGTGAAAATGCAGGGAGTAGACTCTGAGATCCAGACCAGGACTCAGCCAGTCCCTCAAATACACAAGGACGCTCCTCACAGCCAAGGAGCTAGTCAGCATTAAAAAGGATTTACAACAGGGCTAGTTGGTTAAATGCTGTGTGTAGGGCCTGGGTCCCATATAGCCTACCATGGTTTGAGTTCTGGCCCTGGAGGCTTGGGAAACGTACCAGATGTGTGTGCCTCAAATCCTGACAGGATGAAGGAATGAAGGAAAAATGAAGAATTGTGGCATGACCGTGTCCTATTGGAGAGTGCACACATGCTCTCGCTCTCTCTTTCTCTAATAGTGCCTTGTGGCAATACATTTCTTAAAAACCACCTAAAATGAAAAGAATAAAAACATCAAGGCCCAGCCACAGTGGGCGAGGAAGTAGCTACTAACAGCTAAAATCTCTCCAAATCTGAATACCGATTTTTTTAAAACCAAAGATAAATTAGATGAAAAATACTTAAGCCTAAGAATAGAATTAAGAAAGAACATATCCTGGATTTCATCATATAAAATGTAAAATATTCATGTATTAGAAAATGTAACAGAATCAAATTTTAGCTGACTAGACAAGTGATATGTCTTTAGTACAAGAGACACATGTTTTACCACCTAGGTAGGATGGGAGGAAACGTATCTTGTGTTTTAGAATAGGTTGCAGTGGCTGCATCAGCTCTTTGATATGAAAACTTGTTATTGATTGTAACTGTTCTTGGCTCTTTAAATCTCCTGAGGTCATGAATATGTCCTTCCATAGTGGCTTTGAAGGCATTTCAACTGTTGGATGATTCCCACAAACTGTAGTGAAATTTTCAGTACAGTGTATAATACTGAAGAACTTCTACTATCTCCAGCTAACCTTTTTTTTTTTTTTTTTTTTTTTTTTTTTTTTTTTTTTTTTTTTTTTTTTTTTTTTTTTTTTTTTTTTTTTTTAATTTTCTCTGTCACTTCAATGAGGCACTTGTAGTAATCTCAAACTTGTCATTTAACTGGAATGACAACTTGCCTTTGCTTCTTTATGACAAACCAGTGCCAATCCTTGTATCCCTTTGTTAGCCATTACAGATCAATAGATTGCAGCATACAATTAATGGAAGATGGAATGCAGTAGATAAAGCCACACCTCTGCAAATAGTCCTAATTTAGGGAGAATTTAGAGCAGAAGTTTGATGAGAGAGTTTTCAGTCTGGTGCCCAGAGTATACAATATAGCCCACCATGCTAGTTTGTATTGACTAAGAGTACAACACTCAGAACATGGGACAAAATTGCTGTAAGAACAGTGTACTATAAGAGACAGTTAGTAGTAAATCCAAGGAGGCTCAGCTTCATCTTCTTCTCTCTCTGCTCAGTCCCTTGTGATCTAATCCTGAGCTATGGCTTTAGATTCCAAAAAGTTCTGACTACTTGGAAATGTATGTCTCCAGCCCAGACCCCTCCTGAGAACTCTAGATCCATGTATTCGACTGCCTACTTGATGTCTCCCTTTGGAAGTCACAGAATTTCACATCCCAAATGGAATGCCTGATCTCACCACATGAACACCTCATCCCTATCTCAGAAAATGGTGATCCATTTTTTAGTTGCTCAGTCCTCTTACCCTGCAATTCCCCTGGTCCAAGGTCTCATCATCTTTCACTTCAGTGATTGCCATGGTCTCTCCATGATCTTCCTGACTTTGCCCTTAACATCTTCTGTCCATGTTCACCACAGGAGCCAGATGTCTGTCAGAAATTTACCAATGGGTTCCACATCTTTCAAAGAAAAAGCCTGGACCTTCACAAGGTCAAGAGACTTTCTGAATCTGCCATCCACACCTTACCTCTTGGACTCCATCTCATATCATCTCTTCTGACTTGCTTATTCTGCTACAGCTACATCAAGCTCCTTGAATGTATTTCTTAAACATACTAGATATTCTCTGAGTAGGAATTTAAAAAATTGTTGTTTTGGGGGGGTCTAAGTCATTCTTTCTTTAGATATTTGCATGACTGACTCACTCATCTTAAGTCTCTGCTCAAATCATACTTTCTCAGTGGACCCTTCACATACCACACTGTTTAAAAGCATAACCCCTGCTCTGATGTCCCCTATTCCTTCCTCTGCTTTCTTTATCTCCAGAATCCTTACTCTATGAAATTACAGTTTTACTTAATTGTTTATTTTCAGTGTCTTCTGACTAAAATATAAGCATAATGAAGGCAAAGTTTTTTTGTCTCAATTTTCTGCTGCTATAAACTCAGTGCTGACAATAGTGCTTAGAATATAAGAGACACTCAAAAAATATCCGTTGAGTGAATAAATAAAGCAAGGATTAAATCCTTTACACATGTTGTTTACAAAAGATAATATTTGGTAGAGAAAGATGCTTACAGTAAAACAGTGCTACAAAAGGCAGTCAATAAGAAGTGCTAACAGCTGAATCTCTCCAACTGAATACCTTTATACAAAAATTTATTTCTCGTTTCTACAAAGTACATTATAGATATTCCTAGTTGAGTAGGCATTCTTGGTCTCCTACAAGTAGGAACGCAGAAATCTAGACTATTTTATCCACATTTAACTATGTCCTGAGTCTTTGACTTAGAGCAAATAGGATACAGAGACAGATAGGGAGTGACTGCATGAAGATTTGCTTAGGTTTGTTTAAACTCTGTTTTTCCTTCAGTTGTGAGATAGATTTCTACTGAATAAAGGATTCTAGTTGTCAATTTTTTCTTTTCTTTCAGTATTTTCCAATATCTTTCCATTGCCTTCTGACTTCTTTGTTTTTCAAGGAAAGTCTGCTATCATTCTTTTCTTTATTCCTCTCTATACATTGTGTGTGTGTGCATGTGTGTGTGTATGTCTGGCTGTTTTTAAGATTTTTCTCTTTGTCATTGGTTAGCAATAATTTTATTATGCAGTACACTGGCATAGTTTTAAAATATTTATTCTGAACAAAACAAAATTATATTATGCTTCTTGCATCTGTGGGTTTATAGTTTCATCAAATTTAATTTTTTTCACTCATTGATTCTTCATTTCATTTTATTTCTTGTTTGATCATATCACTTCTTTACTTCTAGGATTCCATTCATGTTTAGAGCACTCAGCATTTTCCTACTGAACATTGGTGCTCTGGTTATTTTGGCATTTCTTTTGTTCCTTGTTTTTCTTTTGAGTAATTAAAAAGATTTGTTCAAGTTCACTCCTTTTTCTTCTGCAGTGTCTGGTCTGCTGTATGACCTATCCAATGAAGCTTTTATTTCAGATATTGTAATATTCACCATAGAAGATTTATTTGTATCTTTTTTTATGCCTTCCATTTCTCTCTTCGTCATTGTTATATTATCTTCTACCTTTTAAATATATGTACTATGTTTTTAATATTTACTTTAAAGTCTTTTCTTACTGTACCTTTTCTATAATTCAGGACCTGTTCCTATTCATTAACATTTGACCCCAGTTAAGGGTCTTATTTTTTGTGCTGTTTTTTTCTACCTGACATTTTTAAGTAAACACTTTCATGAGTTTTGACAAATGTAGACAGCAATGTATCTATCATCTCAATTGTGAAGTGAAACCTTGTCCTTACCCTCAAAAGTTCTCTTGTACCTCTTTGTATTCATTTCCTCAACTGTTGGGACTGGGAAATCACTTATCTGACATTTGTTACTGTACCTTTGCCTTTTTTAGAATTTCATGTAAATGGAATCATTCATCAAAATGCTTTTGAGATTTGTCCACTGTTGTTGCATGTATTGATACCATATTTCTTTTATTTTTTTGGAGAGGTTTTTGCTATAGGGCGTGTGTGCTCACCAGAGAGAGACAGAGACAGAAAGCGAGAAATCACCCCACAGGGGGACGGCCATGCTGCAATCCCTTCTCCATCCTCCTCTCAGGACCTTGGGCACATACGCACACGCGCCTGGCGTGAGTTTAGGCCACTGGGTCTGGGACTCCAACTGCGGTTAACTACATGGGAGTCCAGCGACATAGCCATTATGCTAACCGTTGGTACCTTTGATACCATATTTCTTTTTATTGCTGAGTGCTAGTCCATTATAAGGATATATCATCCTCTGTTTATCCATTCACTACATTGGTGGTTGTTTGAAAGTTTTCTCTAGTTTTTGGCTGTTATGAGTAAAGTTCATTGAATATTTGAGTACCTGCTTCTTTGTGTGACCATGTGTTCTCATTTCTCTTGGTAGATAAATTTTTGTTAGTTTTCAAACAACGTAAATTTTATACCGTTAATTACTGAATTTTGTTTGTGTCTGTATCTTACTAAAATTTTTAAATATTCAAATTAATTAATTTATTCTAGGAGCAGGAGAAAAATATAGCAGCCCAACAGTGTCCTGATGCTGAGATCCACCTCCAACCTCAGCCAGCCCCAGATCATGGACATACACGGGCTGAGCATACTCCGAGAGGTCTCTGACATGAACCTGGGTCCTTCTCACATAGGACTGACTTGCAGAGCACCATGTTTTACTGCTGTGCCTCCCTCCAGACCCTTTTTTTTTTTTTGACCTTTTTAAAATAATGTTGAGTTTTTTCTTGAGTGCAATTAGTTAAAATCTTATTTTGAGGTTTGCCTTAAAAACTTTACTAGGGCAGGTCTACACCATTAATCGAGTCTAATCTAACAAGATTATTCAAGCAATATCCTAGTGAGGATTCTACACCATGCCCTGTGTATTATAAAGTATTGTCATTCTTCAGTTAACTGTATGAGAGTCTTCAAAAAATTCATGGGAAACATTTTTTTTATGAAAGAACTGTACGTGGATTTCAAAGTATTTTTGCACCAAAATAAACTTGTGTTTAATTCCATTTTTCCTTGAACTTTCTTTCTTTTTCTTTTTTTTTTCCTTTTTTTAAGAGGTTTTTGCTGTAGGGCGCGTGTGCTCACTGGAAAGACAGAGAGACAGAAAGAGAGAAATCACCCCCCAGGGAGAATGGCCATCCCGCAATCCCTTCTCTTCCATTCTCCTCTCAGGATCCCGGGCATGCACACACACATGCCCGGTGTGAGTTTAAGCCACCAGTTCTGGGACTTGAACCATGGTTGACTATATGGGAGTCCAGCGAAATAGCCATTACACCAGCTGCTGGTCCCTTCCTTCAACTTTTGAAGTCCCCTCATATAAACTATTCCCAGCTCTATCTGAGCTTGAAAATTGTCCTACATTTATTTTTCTAGTGGTTCTTTCCTAGCATCACTTAGTTTTCTGTCATGCATGCAGAGAGCAACCATCGGTCAAAGATCTGAGAGAACTTTTGTTGATCTCGTTCTTTCTTTCAGCAATTCACTTCTATCCAGTATTATGCTGTGTAAATTTTAGACACGTTAGCCTCCCAAAGCTGTGATTTCTCTCTCCTCAACTCAACAAGACTTTGGCCTCTGTTTTGCCCACACATCCCCACCACCCACCCATGCTATGTTGAAGCCCGGAGCTTATCTCATGAGAAGGATATGTTTGTTTCTCTCAGAGACAAGAAACATGCATGTGCTGCCCATTTCTTAATGGCTAAAAACTATTTACCTAAAAGATAAGAAAATCTTCAGTTGATAAAACGCTTGCACATCCATGTTTACTGCAACATCATTTACAATTGCAATGATATTAAATCAACCCAAATACCCAAAAATAGAAAAGTGGACTGAAAAAAATGTGGCATGTATACTCTATGGAATACTATTTAGTCATAAAAAACAACAGGACCCTGACATCTGACAGAAAGTGTATGAATATGGAAGATTTATTGCAGAGTGAAGCAAGTCAGAATATGAAAGAGAGACATTGTATGTCTCCACTTAATATATACTGACTGTCCATACTCTCTGGCAGAAAATGAAAGACTGGAGGATATAGAAGCATGGACAATGTTACTGAAGACTATAGCAGGAAGGCAGGAGGTGGGGAATGATTAGAGGAAGGGGAGAAAAATAGAGAAACAAGACACTTAAGGGACACAGAAATGGAGAATTGTCTGTTGCCAATAATATGTATGATAATATCTTTAACTGGACTTATGTGTAGTGAATTTATGTTAGAAAAAAATTCATTTTATAAGCTGTGGTGATGTACAGTGATTGAATGTATCTAAAATTTTTGAAAATAACCATAAGTGTGGCATTGAACTTAATTAAATGCTTTTTATTATCAGTTAAAATAATCATGAAATTTTCTCCTTTAATTGATTAATATATTACATTTATAGATTTTTCTTAAGCTAAATCATTGTCTGCTCATGAGAAAAATCTACTTGATCACAATGAATTATTTTCAACACATATTTGGATTGAATTGACTGAATTTTTAATGGACTTTTTATATATAATGTCAAGAAATGCTTTTACAATTTCATTGCAGAACTAAGAAGACACTAATGTCTAAACTGAGTCAGACAATTTTCATTTTTTTCTTATTTTGTGAAACAAAATTTTAAAGATAAGAGCTACCTCTTTCCTAAAAGTTTTGAAGAATTTCTTTTGTTTGTCTCCTTCTCCAAGGAGAAGACTCAGCAGGCTACTTTCCCATAACTGGTGTATGCCATTGTGTTGAATGTCCTTCCACTTCGGTTAACCCTTTCTATTGTCAGGATGGACCATGTGTACCACCGAGGGCATATTATCTTATAGCAAGTCTGATTTGGTTGGAGGTGGGTGAGCCTAAACTCTGACTTGCAGGAGAACAGGTCCCCTCTCCATGTCCTGTCACTCTCTGGAGGTATCACACTTCAGTGAGGTGATTTTATATCAAATAGAAGACTTGTGTACATGAGTTCACTTTCACCATGGGGGCCACTTTGGTGTCTTGTGTACTGTGTTTCAATAAAAACTCCTTCAAGGCTGAAAAAAAAATGTTATTCATGCCCAGGATAGATAACTTTGGGGATTAAAAATCTCTAATGACTATTTAACTTACTTTGTGTGCATGTGTGTTATATACATACAAAAGTTCTTGTTCTTATTCAAAGGTTTCCATTTTATGTTTTTATAAATTGTGTAAATGAATGTATTTTTTATTTTCTACCCTCTTGAATTAAGTGGTTAATTCATTCTCCTTTATTTTTTCTTTGGATTTGAGAAATACATATAAAGCCAGATATATCATTTTATATATTACTTTATCTATGACCTTTAAATTGTATGTGGTATTTTCCTTTCTATTCAGTTTTAAGTATTTCACAATGTTTTTATGATTATCTCTTCTTTTCAAGGGCTATTCAAAAGCATGTTTTATTTTTTAGGTATGTACCTTTTTAGAAAGTACCCTTTCATTATTCATTATTGATTCCTAAATGTTTTGAGTCTTGAACTTAGAAGACAGTTTTTGTAATGTTAATCTTTTGAAATTTACTGAGGGTTGTCTGTTTGTATGTGTGTCCCCTACTATTTGGTTGATTTTTGTACAAATTCTATCAAGTGAATATTCTATAAAGAGAATGAGCTTTCTCTATGTTCTTTGTTTGAAGAGCTATGTATATTAAGAGCTAGGTAGATACAGTGTATATAGACAATATAGGGAAAAATATTTAAATTTGAGCTTATTGAATTTTACTATTTCCATTTCCTATTTCTTTACCTATATTTAATATGCTAATCATATCTATAACTGAGAATTATAGATTCAAATCTCTAATTACTATTGAATCTCATTCTCCTATCATTCTGCCTCTTATTTATATATGCAAATGTTTATATTCTTAGATTCTCTATACTTACTGATGTATTGCAGCATCTTTTTGTTATTTTCTTAAGTGTTATTTTGCTCTGATATTGTAATTAATATCTTTCTGTTGTAAGAAATACTAAGACACATGTTAATTTTTATTTTTATAGCAATAAATCTATCATTTTAAAAAATCATGTAAGTATATGTTATACTTTTTGGATTGTTATTATCTTCTTCATTGTCAAATTCCTTGTGTAAAGCTTCAGAGAGCCTTTTGTAATTCTCAGTGATTTTAGTGATTTTAGTGACCTTAGTGATTTTGCAATTTCTGTCATCATTTGATACATTTTTCCTTGATTTGAACTTATGCTTTCTGGTGAAAAAAAAAACATCTAAAAATGATTATACTTTATGGAACCAGCAGATGGTGGAAAGGTTATATGCTAGACTCCCATATGGCTGACCACAGTTCAAGTCCCAGATCTAGAGGCTTGAAACTCATGCCAGGTGTGTATGTGTGCATGCCCAAAAGTCCCTAGAGGAGAATGGAGGAAAAGGGATTGCAGCCTGGCCAACCGCCCAAGAGGGGTGATTTCTTGTTTTCGATCTCTCTGTCTTTCCAGAGAGGGCAGGCGCTCTGTAACAAAAACAAACAAACAAACAAACAAAAACAAAAACAAAACTCTCCAAAAAATTATTATACTTTACAAATGTAAATATAGAATACCATTGAATTAATCACTATTCTCTTTCCTTCAATTTTTGAGTATTCTGGTTTACTGAAGAAGTCATTTCCATCAGGTGGAACTACAAGTAGTTAAATTTTGGTCAAATATTTGGTAAAATACAAGTATAGAGAAGTTGGATAGATTTCTAAAAAATTATTTTTTGAACATTGCTAATTCCTAGTTGAACAAACTAGTACCGACAGTCTCTGCTGTTTACCAAGAAATCTCAACCCACACCTCTGAACAGACAGACATTAGGTCCTTACTTTCATCTGATTACCATGATTCTACAACATTGATACTATTGGGATCTTCATCACATAAAAATAAAAAGTTCGCTAACTACTCAGCACATTTAAATGTGCTTTCCTTTTCCAGTCTTCCTGAAAAGATAGTACACATAACAATCTCTCAAGTAAAATAAATATATTTTTTAAAAACTAATATTTCTGGAAAAATTGACTGTCTGGGAAGATGTGCTGTGTTCAGTATAATGCCATGTAGACATCTTGTATGTGTGTGTCCCTGAGCACATGTGCAAAGTTGCTTTAAAGTCATGGAAAATACAGGGTAAAATATAAAACTTGCCAGTTAAAACCTACCATCATTGGCTGCTGCCTACTAGCTAAGCTCCACTTTCCTGAACTCCTTTTATCCTACCTTGTAGACAGATTGAACTACCTGCTATTCTTTAAATCACTCATCCCATTGTATAGTTCCATGTCTCCACATACACAGTTTTCCTTGCCCTAAATGCCCCTACTCATTGTCAATCAGGTAAAATCTTGTTTTTCTTTCAAGTCTCAGGTCAAAATATTCCTCCTTACAAAAATGCCTCTCATTACTCCAGGCAGAAATATGAATTCATTCTCCACTCCCACTGTTCTTTCTACCAAGTCCACCTTGTGCTAATTATCTCAATGTATTTTAATACACATTTTAAAAAATACAATATGTTTATCCATCATTATTAATCATTGCTT